TTAAATAAGGAATTCTCTCTATTTCTTTGGGATATTTTCCAGTTAGTATAAGAGTACAACTGTGTATGAAAGCCTGAAAGGTTATCGCCTCCTTCAAATGAGAAGGATGAAAAACCCATTAAGATTCGGGGAAAATCGAGCAGTCCTGTCGGTCAGAGTTGTTGGCAGCTACCATCGGTCTCATAATATAAGGGTGTGTCGTAAAAAATGCTCTTATATTATAGCACGGAGAGAGTAGGAAGCAGGACAAGGAAAATTGGGCAGGGTGACCGTGCCTTGTGCGCGTTCAGAGTTGAGACACACACATACACACACATGTCTTTCCGTCTCCGTCCAAAATGTGGCACGCGGGTCGGGCGTTGTTGGGCCGCTCTCAACTAGAGTTCATTAATGTCGTGTTGATCACCGCGTCTCATGTTTGAATCTCCTCCCTCCAATTTGGCAGCCAAGCAGATCACTGTCTCTCTTGCCGACGCGCCGGCCGACCAGTGCAGTGCAGTGCCAATCACACGATTCACACCGTCGCGCCGACAGCAGAAAAATTGATAGTCCACCGGCGCGGCGGCGGGCTACGGCGACGTGGAGAGGGCGAGGAGGCGTGCGTCGCGCCGGAACAAGGACGGCCGTACGTCGCCATTAACAGCGTCAGCGGCGTTGATGCACAAGTGCGACCAAGACATGATTCTTTTTGGGCCATTTTCTGCTGGAATGGATGTTGCAACAGCCACCACATCGAACGCATCGATCGCTTCCCTGATTGCATCATCGTTCGATACGGATAGCATTTTGGGCGATGATCTTGCCCGCCCTAGCTTGGCTTGGTAGGCACCTGCCCTACCCACACCCATCTCATCTGATCCTACGGATCTCCATCCATCCACACATACATCCGGCAACGTCCGGCCGGCTCCACCCGCGCGTATGGCCGTGTCTGTCCATCCCGAAAAAGGTATGGAGAATGCAGTTAGCAGCCGGCCAGGAGCGGTGGAGTGGCCGTCTACTGTACGTACTGTTCTTCATATAAGCATGCAGTATTCATTGGTTGCATTTCCGGCAAGTTGCTGAAAACATCTGCCGAAAGGTTTTGTTGGAAAAGCTATTTGTTACAGTACTTTTTACTTTGCATATTAGGTTTAATCGAAGTCAATCTCATCCAACTTTGACCAAGTTTATACAAAAAATTATAAACATTCACATAACAACACCAATATCATTAGATTCATCTTGGAATATATTTTCATATTATATTTATTACATATTATAGATGCTAATAATTTATAATATAAATTTGGTCAAACTTAGCAAAGTTGACTTTCGGCAAATCCAATGTGCAAAGTAAAAAGGACCGAAGGGAGTACTCACGTACGACCGAATTAATTCTCTAGTTTCCTCTGGTTCATGCGAGAAGCAAAAAAGAATAAAGAAGAAGTTGTTGCTACAGTATCTCACTTCTGTCCCATAATATAAAAACGTTTTTGACCCTAGTGTAGTGACAAAAATATTTTTATATTATGAGACGGAGGAAGTACTTGTCACATAGTACGCACGATAGTTAAGGCAGAATGATGAGAGCATTTAAGCACCAGGATTAGGAACTCACCACTTGGGGCAAAGTAATGAAGGAATAGGTCGACGGCGACTGCTACCTGCCCGCTCAGAAACACCAGTTAATGCATGGACGTACTCAATCCAGTTCAATCCCGTACTCAATCCAGTTCAATCCAAGTAGAGCATCTACAACCGGGCATCTTAAACCCGCCTCAAATGCTCATACAGACGGCCTGATTAGTGACCGGGCACAAAAAAGTGATCCAGACGGGCTCAAACGGGCCTTAAATGCCTGGCCTGACGGGCCGGTCCGTGAACGTACTGAAAGTCGGATTTGTTAAGTCTAACTGTAGATGCTCTTTTAATGCCCTTAAAAAAAGCTGTTGATGCTTTTAAACCGTTTTGTTTTTTTTTTACTTTGCGTATCAGTATTTTCTCGGGAATGTACTTTGCGTGTATTAGTATGATCATATAAAATCAAACTTCACAAAGCTTGATTAAAAAAATGCATGAAAAAACATCAATATCTGCGATAGCCGACAGATGTAAATACTCCAGATTATATTTCAAGATGAATCTAATGATATTAATGCCGTACATTGAATGCAATCTTTTCTACTATATACATAAATCGGTCAAACTTTGAAGAGTTTTGTATACTTCAAACAAAACTAATATAGGCGGAGTAGTATGTGGTCTTGGCATTTGTCATTGGCAGTAGATCATCTGTGGCAGTAGACGCAGAGCATTTGTACACCGCAGATAGTTGCAGCGGCAGCGATTAATTCTCCTGAGAAGTTCTATCAGTTGAGTAATCACCGACCGCATGTGCGTTGCGTAAGCTGCAATCCAGGTGGAAACACGGCCCTTGGCTCGCGCCGTGCGGTGCGGTGCGGTGTGGGACGGAAGGAGGTGACGGTGTGCTCGGTCGGTCATCATCCATGCCATGATGCAGTCCGATGTCTAAAAACCGATTGGATCGACGTCACGATCCATGGGGGGCACATGGAGAGAGAGAGAGAGAGATCCCCGGCCGGCATCGTCGCGGCGTCGGTGCTCCTCCGGATCCAACACTACAGCCTGATGAATGAATCATGGAGCCATCCGTCCAGTCAGAAGCACCCGTCCGCAGCACGGAGGCATCAGAATCACAAGAAAAAAGAAAATACATGTGCCAAACAGGTGAGGTTCCGTCGTCGAGGAGGAGAGGGAAAACGGAAGAGGAAGTACACGAGAGTATACTTATGCTACTAATAATGGCAGAATGTTAGTAGTAAGCACTATTCTTCAGTTAGCCGTACTGGGCGCTTGTGATGGGGCGGCTAACCATCATTTGACTCTGCTAATTTAATCCACCATCATCGAACCGACGAGCCATGCTCTCACACGTCGTACATTGCATACACAGCAGGCTGCTGAAATAAAAATGTGAATGATGTGCAGATTTGTCGGCACGGACCGGTGATGCCTCCGAGGTAGTACAATAGGCTTTACTTATCTGCATTTTTTACCTGCGTGTATAAAAAATCTTGGTAAAATACTCCAAAGTCACGCGCTCTTGGATAAAAAGTTGTATTAAAGATCCAGTGATTGTGTAACCATAATTACACCTGTGTGTAGTGGCGAAGCTTCATGGAGGCCAAAGGGGGGCTACTGCCCCCTCCCCCCTCCCTACTGTTAGTCCCATGACTAAAAGTAGTGGGACTAAAACTTGATAGCCTCACTCATACTTAGATCCAAATACAAAAGAGACTAATCAAGTTATTGAGCATTTATTATCTTCCAAACCCTCCAATTCAGAACTCGCATGTGCTAAAGCAGAGGAATTAAATGAGGTGGGAGAGGGCTAATACATATTTTAGTAGGTTTCCTATGACTGAAAAAATTTAGCCTCAAGACTAATCCTAGCCTCTCTTTAGTCAGGGGTGTTTGGACTTTAGCTTCTAAAAGAGACTATTTTTAGTCAGACTAAAAATAGTCCCTTTGATCCAAGCACCCTCTAGGAAACCTCATAGTTTGATTGCAACATTGCTAAGGCTGGCGATAGTGGGGGTAACATAACTAGTATCATATATTTGGGACTCGCAAACATGCTTACGTGGCAGGAAATTAAAGAAGAGAGAGAGGGTCATAGTAACATAGGTAGATACCGTAACATAATAAATGTTATGCTACTATGTGTCATGCATGACAACAGTGGCGGAGCCAGCTCAAGTTTAGAGCCTGGGCAAGATTGACGTGCGGCCATGTTAACAATGTTTTGCCCAAGCAAACTCTTCACCAATCTAATTTTCTCTACTACAGTTCCATGGACATGCAGCATGGGAGCCCGGGCAGCTGCCCCAGCTCGCCGGGTGCTGGCTCCGCCACTGCATGGCAATAAATAAGACCACCTATGATACTATGCACTATGGATGTAGTATCATACACTAGTATCATGCATATACTAGTATGACCATAGGCTGGTTACTCCCCACTATGACCATAGGCTGGTTGTAATGGAGAGTATCATATACTAGTATCATGCATATGATACTAGTCTATGATACTACATCCATAATGCATAGTATCATAAGTTGGTATCATAGAAAACTACATTTATTACCATGCATGACACAAAGTAGCACATTATTTAATATGATACGGTATCATGTTATGATACTCAAACCTCTCTTTCTTCATTTAATTTTATGCCACCTCATCAAACTTGTTTAGTTGGTATGCATGATACTATTTATGATACTCCCATTACAGGCAGCTAATAGAAGATGATATCAAAGTCACACGCTCTTGGATAAAACGTACTGCTATTAAAGAGCTCTACCCCAGAGATTGAGGGAGAGATTCGTCGCCGATTGACCTTTTTTCCTCCCTCACAAGAAAACAACAACAACAAAAAAACCAGTCCAAGTTTGGCATCTTGTGTAGAACACGCCATAGTTGACCAATCAAGAAGACGTGGTGTCCTCTCGCAAGTGTGTACTAGTACAAGCGGCAACGGATGCCATAACGTTTGTTCTTGCAAGCTTGTGGCCCATCGTGTGCCATCTCGAGACTAAAAGAAACAAATTCAGTTGCTCCTAATGTCCGAATGTGTATGGATGAGAGCTTCTTTCTATACGACTCATTTTATCTGAAACTGCTACCGAATGCCTCTGAAGAAACAAGGACTGATGAAATTGTTACCGACTGCCTCTGAAAAAACCATCCATCAGCCAACATCTTTGGGTAGTACCTACTCTTGACCATCTCATCTACACTTGATCGCCATGCCTGCCATATCATACAATTTTTTTGTCCACCGATCTCATCTCATCTCATCTCATCCGCTAGACTGCTACATACACTGGCATATATAGATATAGATACATACATTCTACTGGTATACCATCATAACTAGAATTAGAAAAGAAACAAAAAAAAATGTCAAAGAAGAAGATCAACTGAAGGATTCACTGGAGCTTGTTTGCTCTGATGTGCGCGATGGCCTTCTTGAGCAGCGGCCGGAACCTCTTGAGGTCCAGCCGGACGTCCTGCTTGTCCAGGTACACCTGCTTCAGCGACTCCCACCCCTTGCTCTTCACGCCGTCGGGGTCCGTGAATATCGGGTGGTCCGCCGGGTACTGCTCCGTCAGCGTGCTCTCCGCCGGCGCGATCCGGTACTCGAGGTATTTCAAACCCATGTCCCTGGACGGCGTGCGGAAGTAGCCGGCCACGAACTCCAGCCCGCCCAGCGGCACCACCTGGATCACCACCCCGCCCGTGGGCAGGAACACCATGTTGGTCAGCCCGGCCCCGTGCACGCCGAGCATGGCGTCGCAGGTGTTGGCCAGCTCCGCGAAGGGCGCCACCTCGTGCGTGCCCTCCGACACCACCACCTCGAACCCCACCTTCTGGGCCGCGCGCACGATGTCGTCGGCGTTCACGAACCGCCGCGTGCTGGCGCGCGCGATAAGTAAAAGCCGTGGCTTGGCGCCGGTGGCCGGCACGGCGAGGCCGCGGGGGAGGCCGTAGACGCCGCGCATGTGCTTCGTGAAGTCGACCATGGAGTAGCCGTTGGGGGCGCGGAGCGGGTCGATGCTGAAGTCGGCGTGGCAGGTGAGCCCCACCTGGACGTGGCGGAAGCAGCGGGTCCGGTTGTCGGCGGCGAGGTCGACGAGGTCGTAGTTGGAGAGGCTCTTGAAGACGGGGAGGAACTTGCCGACCCACCACATCTGCAGGTCGGACACCAGGAACTGCACCTCCCCGCCGTACTGCTTGGCCGTGAGGAAGAGCGGCAGGATCACGTCGGTGTAGGCGTGGAAGTAGTTGCCCGTGTACCCGCGGTCCGAGAAGAGCAGCGCCGGCACCGAGTGCCTGATCGCGCACTCGGCGTCCTCGCCGGCGCCGGGGAGAGTCGTGGTGGAGCGCACGGTGATGTTGGTGACGTGGCGCATGGCGTTGGGGTCGACCTTGCGCGGGTACGGCCTGATGCGCCACTCCTCGGCCTGCGGCGCGCCGACCAGGGTGACCGTGGCCTTGGCGCCGTGGACGCGCACGTCGCCGTCCAGCTCGCACCAGTCGATGCGCCGGTTCGACGTCAGGTCGCACAGCGGCTTCCACTCCCGCCGGGGCGCCGTCGCCGCCTCTTCCGAACCTGAATAATAATTCCACGCACCAAAAACACGTTGATCTTCAGTTAGTAGTTTGCCATGAATGATCAGAAAAATGATTGGCACGGAAAAGTGAAGCAGCGGCCAAAGAAAATCTTTTCTTGCGAGAGCTTGGCAGACAAGAACATTATTGAGTTCGTGTAGGACCAAGCACTAGTACACTAGTCCACGAAATGAAATGATCAAAGCAAAGGAGGGGTCTAGAAATCGGGCTTTCTGAGTCGTCAGATTAGTGAGTGAGAGGGGACGGGATGAGGCATTGCCGCATTGCTCTCCTCTCAAGAAAGAAAGCTGGAGAAGAGGACGCAATGGGTAAAAGCAGAGGAGTGGACCAGTGTAGCAAGGACATTGTTTCTTTGGGACAGGGAGGTGGAGCTGCAAAAGATAAAAAGAAATGTGTCTGCATTTTGCAGCAGGACGAGTGATTGATTGCTCAAACTGGTAGAACAAATCCCAGTGCTTGAGATGTTCATTTTTTACCATGGAAATAGAAGAAGAATTACTAGTAGTAGGTGAGATGAGATGAGATGAGTACCTGGCTGCTGCTTGAGAGGCTCTGGGACGAGGGGAATCTGCTGGAGTGGAGGAGCCTTGGCCTCCTCCTGCTTGGGAGCCTCTGGAACTGGAACGGTAGGAGGACTCTGCTGGACTGGAGCAGGAATCGTCGCCGGGTCGGATTGAACCACGGACTGTGAGCCGCCATTGCTGGAGCTCTTGTTTGGTGAATTAGCAGCGGCAATGGCATCCTGCACAAGCAGCTCCTGGTCCTCAAGAACACCTGACCAACCAAACACCCACAAAGCTCAGCTTGTCAAATCCAACAACTACTCACTCCCTTTTCCCCCAAGAACAAAACAATTATGCGAAGCCGCATCTTATCTACTAGTACTAACTAAGTGGTTGGTCGATTGGATCCTCACTCACCTTGTTCCTCCTGCGCGCCGTTTGCCGACAGGGGAGGGAGAAGAGCGCCGGCGGCGTCATCGTCCTTGGCGGCCTCCACGGCCGCAGCATCGCCGTCCCTCGCAAAGGTGTCATCTTTCTTCGTGTCCGCCAGCGACGCATCGTGGACCAAATCTAAAGCGAAAAGGAACGGGGAGATTAAAAAATAAATACACCAGTCTTTGTCACCGGATTGCCTGGATGGACGTTGCGTGCGAGCCAGTAGAAGCAGCCAGGTAGCGGCGGGCGGCGGCCGCGGCAGCTCGAGGCCTGGTGCCATGGCCATGGCCGGACCGCCTGACGCATGCATACGCAGTGTAATAAGCAAATGATTTGCTGTTTACCTTGCGCTGAAGAGGAGGAGGGGGAGGTGGTCGTGTGGTCGTCGCCGTCCGTGTCCAGCACCTCGGCCTTGCTCCCCTCCCCGGATAATGCCGCGTCCTGCCCCAGCACGCCCAAATCTGAAGAAAAGAAGAGGGGGGGGAACAGACAGGCCGTCAGTCAAACTTGTCGATTGGCAAGACAGATTCGGCGGAAATGTTGGCGCGGGGGGTGGGTTAAGCACCTAATTGGGTCTTGGAGCCGGCGGCGGCGGCGCTCACCGGCGAGCCAATCCGGGTCTCCAGGGGGCTGACTGCACACAGACACGTCGAGATTGGTCCGTCAGAGCCGCGGGGGACAAGGGGGGTAGAGGAAGCGGGAAGCGAATGCAGATGCGCGGAGGGAGGGGGTTGGCTTACCGAGGGGCGCGATGTGGATGGCGTCGAACTTGGCGGTGGAGAAGTATGCGCAGGTGACGAGGAGGAATCCGGCGACGAGGCCGATGCCGAAGTTGCGCGGCTCGACGGTGCGGCTGAAGGCCTTGAGCAGCCTGGCGGTGTCGTGGTGGTGGGCGTAGCCCGCCGCCTTGCCGCCACCGCCCTCCATGCCCGCCGCTCTCCTTGCTCGGTCCGGCTGTGTCTGACTCTCTGCTCGCGAGGGGGAGGGAGAGAGAGAGAGAGAGAGGTGTCGAGGTGGAGGGTGAGCGGAGCGGAGCAGGGGCGCGGCGCGTATATATCTCTGGGCTAGCGAGCGAGAGAGAGGCTGAGCTGACCTCACGTGCTCACAGGCAGCGCCGGAGCAAACAGCGGCACCGGGTGTGGGGCGAGCGACGCGTTGCGTTTACTTATACTGCTACTTAACTAACGTAACTCGTGAGCTAGCAGTACTTCTACACTAATAAATAGCAGCAGATTCAGTGGTAGTAATATGGAGCAAGCTGAGCGTGCGAAAGCGAGAAGAAGAAGAAGAAGAGACAGGCGAGCGAGGCATGGCAAGGCAAGGCAACGCGGGCCGGCTTTCCAGTAATCCCTCCGTAACTCGTGGCCTTGTTTGCCACCAAGAAAATCAACATAAAAAAGATCGTGGCTTTCTCCCCTCCCCGTTTCAATCAAGCTGTACTGTTAGTAGGAGTACGAGTACTACGCGTTGTTCTGTGTTCCCGTGAAGGGTGGAGAGATGGCTGACCAAGTGAGGGACGGACGGACGGAGAGGGGAGCGGCTGCCAGCTGCTGCTACTGCTGCGAACGTGTGCTCCATGATTTGTTCACCGGCGGGAGGAGCACCGACGCTGCCTGCTCTCCTGCTGGCTGGCTGGCTGGATGGATCCTGGCTCCTGGGACTGCTTGCATCATGGATCACCGATCGGATTCAGATCAGGTGCTTCACGATCCCACGCACGCACCGTCGCCGCCGTGCATTGCGTTACGACCGGTAAAGCGAGCGAGCGAGCGGCGTTCCGCGCCCTGCTTCGCGTGCCTGTCCGCCCGCGCTGGTGGGCCGCAAAGAAAATCCCGACCGGCATGGGTCCCCGTCCGTGCATCGCACCGCACGCCACGAATCGGGGGCCTTGTTCCCACCTTCAGTGCGGCTTACGCAACACACATGCGGTCACTGATTACCCGGGACTGTTAAATCACTGCCGCTGCCAAGATCAGCAGTGTTAATGCTCTCCATCTACTACGGATCACACGTACCACCACTAATGGATTGAACTAGCAGTCGCCATCGGCCGATGATTCCTTCCTTCAGTTGGCCAAGTGGTCAGTTCCTTCCAGCAGCAAAGAGGCAGGCTTCCTTCCTAACCCTGCTGCTGCTTAAATGCCATCATCATTCTGCCCCTTAATTATATACTGCGTCTTCTGTGACAAGGAGTCGTTCCAACGGACAAGGGCTCCTGGGCTGATTTACAAGCAGCGGGAACAGAATCAAGGAAATTTCTTTGCGAGTCACTGAGTTTGTGTGGCCAGCTGCACCAAGAACCGGCGATGAGAACAATGAATACCGCATGCACATCTCAAGAGATAGACTTACCACGGGTACTCACTTACTACTACTCCCTCTGTCCCATAATATAAGACGTTTTTTGACACTACACTAAAGTAAAAAAACGTTTTATATTATGAGACGAAGGGAGTAATATACTACACGGCCGCTCCACCCCTCCCGGCTGCTAACCACATTTTCCATGTCAATTTGGGATGGGCAAATACATACATGCCGGCCGGACGTTGCTGGAATGGATGGATGGATGGAGGAGAATCAGATCGGATCAGATGCACAAGCTGCGCTTGGGCACGTACAGTACAGATAGCCAGGACGGGCAACAAGATCGTCCAAAAGTCCAAAATACTAGTAGTGCTACCGGTAACCAGCGATGCTGCAATGGAGCGATCGATGCGTATCGACGCGCCCGTGTGTGGCGTACGTCGTATACTGTATGTGGATGGAGATCGATGGATCGATCAATGGAGCGGTTGTTGCCACATCCATTCCAGCAGAAAATGGCCCAAGGGATTCCGTCTTGGTCCAACTCGCGCATCGGTTCGCCACGCCGCTGTTAATGGCGACGCCCGGCCGTCCTTGTTCCGGCCGTCCTTGTCCCCGTCGTCTCCACGTCGCGGCGGATTGTTGCGTGTTTTTCTACAGTCGGCGCGACGGTGTGATCGGCACTGCACTTGTTGACTGGCATGTCGGCCGCACAAGGACGGTGACCAGTTTGGCTGCCAAACTTGAGGGAGGGAGAAAATTCAGACAAGCAACTGTGAAATACGCAGTTTGGAGCAGCCCAACAATGCCCGACTTGCACGCCACATTTCTCGCATGTTCGGCCGCCCCAAGAAATTAATCGATTTGCTCTTGCATATTTAGTTGACGAAACATTTTGATTTTGGACGGAAGTCAATTCTTCGTGCCAAGCGTATGCGCTGGCGGTTTTGTTGCTCCGCGTGGTAAGTAATTGTTGGGTTTACGTCCCGGCCAGGGGGTACAAGGGGACTAATTAAGCCGCGGGGCCCTACGTGGAAGTGTGACGACAACATGTATTCAACGTACTCCTACCTGGGACGGTTAACTTCCTTGATGAAACCCGCCAGGCAGGTTCAAGTTCTAAACTTGTCACCGATGGGCGATCTTCATTCGTTTAGGTTGACTTAGAATCTCAAAGGCACTCCTCAGGATAGGTGGTACGTATTTGTTCATAGGGTTGAGTTTATGGTTGTGTACTTGAGCATCTGCATTTGTACTGTGTTCGAGTGCCGACGAAGAAGACAAAGGGGCTTTGCCTATCAACGAGATACACCGCGCTCACCGATGAGCGTCGCAAACAACATATCATGGCCCTCTAGGCCTGACCAATCTCCGCCCTTGCGACCACAACGGCCATCGCTCCCACCACGATGAGATCCAGGTCCGTCGCCCCAGGCTTGAGCTCTGCCACTTGTCATAGCAATCGGGGTTCCCCCACCCACCTTCTCGTCAGGGAGAAGGGTGCTGCGTGTTACATGCGCGTGAATGGCCGTCAAAATATAGGCTGTGACCTTACAAGCGCACTAGTTCCTTCTAATGTTTATTTTCTGGTTTCTTGTGCGGTAAGTTTTTAAGCCGGAAAGTTAGTCGATTTACAATTCGGTTCTCCTATATATATGATCGATTAGTCACCACCAAAGATACATCTAATGGAGCTAGGCATTTGTGTTTTTCTCGCCGTTGTGTTGTCCTTGTACCCTACTACACCCCGAGCGCGTCTGTGCACCGACGAATAGGAGAGCAGGTCTGACCTTACAAGCGCACTGTTTCCTTTCGGTGTTTATTTTCTTGTTTATTGTGTGGCAAGTATTTAAGCTGGAAAGTTAGTCGATTTACATCGTGATCATGACACGAAACAATTCGGTTCTCCTATATATATGATCGATTAGTCACCACCAAAGATACATCTAATGGAGCTAGGGCATTTGTGTTTTTCTCGCCGTTGTGTTGTCCTTGCACTAGTAGAAAAAGGGTCAAACGTGAAGCACATTAGTGCCGGTTTGTATTTGAGCCGGCATTAATGTGCACATTAGTGCCGGTTCGTAGCGGCGATCAATAGTACCGGTTCGTGGCGAACCTTTAGTACCGGTTCATGCCACGAACCGGTACTAAAGAGGCTGTGTCATCCTGCGGTCAGGCTATGGCCCCACCATCACCATTTAGTGCCGGTTCGTACCACGAACCGGTACTAATGAGCGGTGCCGGTTTACGGCAAGCTGTTTTTAGTCCCACCTCGCCAAGAGAGAGGCAATATGAGCGGTTTATAAGCCGTGAGTGCACAGACAATGACGAAGAGTTGCAATACTCACCTACATGTTGATTTGCTTCAAGCCTTGCGGAATAGTATAGATTGCACTGAGCTATGTGCAGTGGCTTAGTGCAATCTACACTATTCCGAATGGCTTGAAGCAAATTAACCAGCATTGCACCTCTTTTTTTTTATTTTTAATAACTTATTTAAACTCCGGACTTCTTTTGTGTTCAGTATGCAGCATTTAAAGCTTGTTATGCCTCAAGGTTGTTATGGTTTCGAAATTATGGATTTGACAACCATGAATCATAGCTTTTTGTGTAAGTGACTTGGGAAACTCAAGTTTGGCAAACTCTATTGACTAGTAGAAAAACGGTCAAATGTGAAGCACATTATAGTGCCGGTTTGAATTTGAGCCGGCACGAATGTGACCATTAGTGCCGATTCCAACGGCTAGGCGGGCTGCTACCATTAGTACCGGTTCGTTGCCAATCTTTAGCACCGGTTCGTGGCATGAACCGATACTAATGTGCATCCCACCAATTAGGAAGAATCACACGGATCGTGTGTTTCTTTCTAGCTCTTGCGAGTCGTTGGATCAAGGGTGTGTTTCTTCCTAGCTCATGTGAGTCGTTGGATCGAAACTATCACAATCACTTTGTGAGCCAGACGACCCTATATATAGCCCATCTCTCGCCTTCGTCCCTGCATAAGTCTTTCAGTTCATCAACTACATACATCTACCAGTTCATCTACTGCATACATCTACCAGTTCATCGACTGAATACAAATCATTCGGATTCGCCATCATACGCCCAACCGTACATTCGATATGCATATATATGCATCACGAGCCACGGTAGGGTTGTATGATGGCGATACCGATTGGTTTGTCCTAGATCCGACATAAAAGGTTTGATACAACTTCTTTTTTGTGACATAAGATCTAACATTGTTGCTTCTAGTAGTTCTCTTGATTGCACTAACGATTCTCTTAGCCAAGTTACACTTGAGCAAGAAAATAGCTTATTGAAGGGAAGAATCAAGGTGTTGGTTTTGAACGAAAGTTCAATGCCAATGGAGTTGAGTGGGAAGAAGATCAATACCCCAAAGACAAAGTTTGTTCCTCAACAAGAGAAGTATCCTACTTCCTTCAAGGGGACAAAGCTCAAGATGATCTTCTACATGTTGATTAGCTTCAAGCCTTGCGGAATAGCATAGATTGCACTGAGCTATGTGCAGTGCAGTCTACACTATTCCGAATGGCTTGAAGCAAATTAACCAGCATTGCACCTCTTTTTTATTTTTAATAACTTATTTAAACTCCGGA